AGGTAGTTAGATGAAGTTCTTTTCTCTTTAACACTAGCATTTTTTGTTCTATTAATGGGATTTATTTTCTTTTATATTTATGGTAATGATTATTGTTCAGATGAGATGCAGTATGCCTTTCAGAATATCTTGTAGGGCTGGTTATGTGGTGGTGAACTACTATAGTATTTGTTTTTGTGGAAAATATATTTTTTCTCCCTCATTCCCAAAGGATGAAAATATATTTTTTCTCCCTCATTCCCAAAGGATAGACTTGCTGGGTATAGTAGTCTTTGATGGCAAATTTTGTCTTTTAGTATTTTGAATATATCACCCTATGAAAAATCTGTTGTTAAAACTTGATGTTTTTGCCTTATTGCTTTTAAGATTCTCTCTGCCTTTGAGCTTTTCCAATTTCATTGTAATGTACCTTACAGAGAACCTTTTTGGACTGAAATGGTTCTGGGATCTTTGGGCCTACCCCACCTGAAAATCCATTCTCTCCCTATATTTGGGAAGTTTTCTGCTTTTACTCAGTTGAATATTTTCAATGCCTTTTCATTTTTCCTCTCCTTCTAGAACACCCATCATTCAGATGTTTGTGTGGCTTCAGGTTCTCTGTTGGTTCTCTTTGACTTTCTTCTTTATTTTAATTCTTTTTTACTTTCTTTTTGTTTGGTCCACTTGGGTTATTTTTAAAATGCTGTCTTTAAGATCATGAATTCATTCTTCTGCTCATTTTAGCATGCTGTTAAAACTCTTAGTTGTGTTTCAGACTTCATTTAATGACATTTCCAGTTCCATGAGTTCTGCTACATTATTTTTTTAGGGTAATAGTCTCTTTGTACATTTCCTCCTTCAGATTCTGGATATTTTCTCATTTTGTTATGCTTTCTGAGTCATCTTCTATCTCACTGAGTTCCCTCGGGATTGTTGCTTGAAATTTCTTTTCAGCTATTTCAAGGACTTCTTGCTCTATATGGCCTGGTACATGAAAGTTATTATATTCCTTTGGTAGTATCATAAGTTTTATTTTTCACATTTCTAGTATCTCTACACTGGCCAATAGTCACCTGGTAGAGCAGTTATTTTTCCTAATACTTCAGAGTGGGCTTTGAGGAGAGGGAGTCCTTTTGTTGATGTGTTTTATACTGACTACTGAATGGGTGTTTTAGTACTGGTTTCAGATAGATGGAGTAGTGTAGTCTCCATATATGTACTTTGGCAAAATTCAGTGTTGGAATTGTACATGGGTAAGAACAATAAAAAAAAATTTAAAATCTCAAGAGAAAAATTTAAAATATTTCGAAGGAAATAAAAGAAAAAGTGCAACTTATCTAAATTTGTGCAAATGGAGAAACAGGAATCTTTTCAAAAAATTTACACTATTGAATGCATATATTTTTAAAAAAGAAACACCTTTGGAAACTACAAGGAAAGAGAGAAAATTAGATTAAAAGGAAGAAGAAAAAATAAAAATTAGAGCAAAAATAAAATTAGGAAAGGAAACTGAGAGAAAATTGTCAACAAAAAGTTGATTCCTCAGAAAGATCAATGAAATTGATAAACCTACAGCTAAGCGAACTAAAAAGATAATGACACAGAACAGAAAGTACTAATATCAGAAATGAAAAAGAGGAAATCACTATGGACATTAAAAAATGAATAGCATGTACAACGCAGGGCACAAGTTTGATAACCTAGATGAAATGAACCAATTCCTTCAAAGACACAATTTCCCAAAACTAACAAACACTAATATGCAGTATTAGAATAGGACTATGTCTATGATAAAGATTGAGTGAAAAAAAGAAATCTTCCAAACAGAAAGCACCTCGGCCCAATGTGTTTACTGGGGAATTCATCCAAACATTTATTTATTTTTATTTTTATTTTTTAAAGATGGCCAGTAAGGGGATCTTAACCCTTAACTTGGTGTTGTCAGCACCACACTCTCCCAAGTGAGCCATGGGCCAGCCCCATCCAAACATTCAAAAGGAAGAAATTACACCAACTCTTTACCATCTATTTCAGAGAATAAATGTTAAGATACAACACAACACTAACTCAATACCAAAACCAAAGATATTACAGTAAAATGTAGAAACCATTATCTCACATGAACGTACAAGTATCTTCAAGAAAATATTCAAAAATCTAATCAAACAATGTTTAAAGAGAATCATGCACCACAACCAAGTGATGTTTATCCTAACTAGGCAAGGCTTGTTCAATACTTGAACATCAATTAATTTAATCCTTCACGTCAAAACACTAAAAACAATTAGAAGGTCATATCAACAGATTCAGAAAAAGCCTTGAATTGTATTGACAAAATACAGCACCCATTCATCATAAAAACTCTCCTTCACAACTTGATCAAGACTATCTACAGGAAACTATAGTTAACATTATTGTTCATGGTGAAAAACTCAAAGCTTTTCCAGAAAAACAGGAACAAGGCAAGAACATGCCCTCTCAAAACACCTTTCAACATTGCACTAAAAGTAATTGCAATAACAGAAGTAAATGAAATAAAAGTATACAGACTGGGAAAAATAAATCAATAAAATTGTCTTTGGTTGCAGGTGATATGAGTATCTGTGTAAAAAATTCTAGTAAACAAGTGAAAAAACTCCTGGAATTAATAAGTGATTACAGCAAGATTTCAGGATACAAGGTTAATAAAAATTTTATCACGTTTCAACATACCAGCAGTGACCAAGTAGAATCTTAAATAAAAACATTATACTATTTGTCAGCACCTCCAAAAATACAATAATTACAAATCATCTGTCATAAGAAATTAGTATCAAGAATACACAAAGAAAAAATGTTCCACAGCTACACAACAACAAAACAAATAACCTGCTTAAAAAACAAGGAAAGAAGGTGGCTTACTGGTTAGCTCTCTTGGTTAGAGAGCAGAATTTTAACACCAAGTTCAAAGGTTTAGTTCCCCATACCAGGAAGCCACCCCAACACCATACCCCAACAAAAAAATAGCAAAGAAATTGAATAGACATTTCTCCAAAGATGATATATCTTGTCTAACAAATACATGACAAGATGCTTAACATCGTTAAACATTAGAAAATGCAAAACCAGGGCCGGCCCGGTGGCGCACTGGAGAGTGCGCCGCTTGGGAGTGTGGTGGCGCTCCCGCCGAGGGTTGGGATCCCATGTGGAGACTGTTTCCCACTCACTGGCTGAGCGCGGTGCGGGCGCAACACCGAGGGTTGCGATCCTGTTGCCGGTCCCCGGTACGGGCGCGACACCAAGGGTTGCGATCCTGTTACCAGTTAGTTAAAAAAAAAAAAAAAGAAAATGCAAAACCACAATGAAATATTGCTTCGCACACAATAGAGAACAGGTTTCAGTGAAATTGGAACTTTAGTATGCTGTGGGTAGCAATATAAAATGGTGCAGCCCCTGTACCATTTAAAAAAAATACACTGGCTTCTCAAAAAATTAAAAATGGTATTACCATGTGAGTCAGAAGTCCAAGTTCAATGTATATATCCAAAATAACTAATTACCTGAATCTCTAAAAGATATTTCACACCAGTGTTCATAGCAGCATTAGTCACATAGTGAAGGGGTGCAAGCATTCGAAATGTCTGTCCAAGAATGAATGGATAAACAAATTGTGGCATGTACACAGAAAGGAATATTATTCAGTCATAAAAAGAAATGAAATCTTGACATGTGCTATAAGAGAAGTAGAAAAGGGAAGAAACTAAAGAGAACCAAGAGTGCAAACTACAGAGGACTGACTCAGTCAAGAAGAACACAGTGAGAAGAATAGAACCCACAATGAAGCCCTGTGATGAGCAATGTTTAGAAGAAGAAAGGAGAAGAATTCAGAACAGAAAACCATCAGTAATGGCATGAGAGAAACTAACACAGAAGAATTTCCATGAGAAGATCATAACTAACACAGAAGAATTTCCATGAGAAGATCATGAACAGCAGTTTCGAATGTGGCAGAAGATTCAAGCTAGAAAAAGACTACAGAATCGGCACTGGATTTCACCGTAATGTAAGTGATAATTCCATGTTTTATCCACGAATCAAGTACAGTCTTCCAAATCTGTACACAAACCACAGGACTTGTAAGTGAAGTCATCTTGAACCAACAGCCTCAATCACAACACCACGTCACAAAAGCTGCATTTGACATCCAGGCAATGCTAGCATGAAAACTGCCCAGCTGAGTACACTGAACATGTTGATCCATAGAACTTCAAGGAAATAAAATGGCCAGATATTTTAAACCATTGTGTTTTGATTTGTTCTTACACAGCAAATGCTAAATAATACATGTAAGTCCCCAGAACTCAGTATATTTAAACAAAATTATGAGGGTGAGAAAGTCTTAAATTACACAAAACCTTATAGTCTGCTTATTAAGCAACATGTGCCTTGGCACTCACTAACCATTTCCACTATAGAAAGCTATGTGTTCATTTCCAGGTTGGCAGTCAAAAATATTCTAATAGAGATGGAATTTCAGAATTTAGTGCCAGGGCCAGCCTGTGATTCACTTGGGAGAGGGTGGTGCTGATAACACCAAGGCCAAGGGTTTGGATCCCCATATAGGGATGGCTGGTTAGCTCACCTGGGAAAGCATGGTGCTGACAATACCAATTCAAGGGTTAAGATCCCCTTACCAGTCATCTTTTTAAAAACAACAACAAAAAAAGAATTTAGTGTCAATAAATCCTTATATCCCATGAGAATTTGGCATATTTTCTTCACAGGTTCCACTCCAATCATGTAAAAAAAAGTGTCTGCCTTTTTGACATGACATCAGAAAGACCAGAGACAAATTTTTAGTCAACTTAGATAATCTGAAATATTATATCTTGCTATATCTACATGCAAACTGGACCTTATATATGTACACTTCCTTCAAGCTGAGATTTACTCATTTCTACTTTTCCATTTTAATTCATGCTCCCCATAATACCCACGTAATACAGTGAAAAAAATTAGGAATAAATAAAGAAAAAACTCACTGGAGATTTATCCATCTTTTCTTGCTCTTGGAAATGAATAGCACACTCTGGCAGCTTAGCTGGGAGAGGAGGGAATGGAGTGGATTAAGGAGAGAACTGTTATGGCTTGACCCTGGATTCTCCTGCCCGAAACTCTATATATTAGCTGGAAAAGACAAACAAACAAAAAGCCACCCAGTGAGACAACAATCCTTTATGGTCAATAAGTTGTAACAAAGACTCATTAAACGTGCATCTGCAAGTACATTAATTGGTACACATTAGACACAGAATTTATTTTTGAGTTAATGAAAACATACATTACCTGATTTAGCAAGAATCATCATTACCTAAAATAAAACTTCATCATTTAAACCAAAGAAAAACACATTGTGTCATTACTAAAACTAATGCTATAGAAATATAGTGAGGCTATAGTAACTATTTTCAGAATAACGTAATGACTCCACACATGACTACGGATAAGTGTTTCCACTACAACACATCTTATTTATATGTACCTAAGTATCTCTTCAGTACACATCTTGCAACTCAACATCTTTTGCCCATGATTATATAGGTTAAAAAAGTACATTACGGGGCCGGTCCATGGCCCACTTGGGAGAGTGTGGTACTGACACCAAGGCCAAGGGTTCAGATCCCTATATAGGAATGGCCGGTTAGTTCTCTTGGTAGAGTGCGGTGCTGACAACACCAATTCAAGGGTTAAGATCCCCTTACTGGTCATCTTTAAAAAAAAAAAAATAAATAAATAAAATAAAATAAAGTAAAATGCACATTATGTATATTTCTTTTGGTACCCTATTCCAGTAACGTTACCCAGTGATAGATCTCCCTGCACCCAAACCGTCATGTAGTATGCTCTGACAATGCACTGGGCTTTGCTACATGACTTGATTTCACTAATAGCATATTAACAAATGTCATGCAAACATAAGTTTGACAAGTACTGGCCACTGCTGATTGCCTTCTTAAACACAATCATAATGTGAAGAAGCCTGGGGCTACACTTTTGGAGACACAGGGCCCAGCCAAGAGTCAGCACAAACCACAGGATATGTGAGTGAAGCCATCTTGAACCAACGAGCCTCAGTCAAGGCACCACATGACTAAAGCTGAACTGCCCAGCTAAACACACCCAAAATGTGGATCCATGGAACTTCAACATAATAAAATGGCTAGGTGCTTAAAACCATTTGGGTTTTGATTTGTTCCTTACATGGCAAATGCTAAATGATACACCTAAGCCCCATAACTCAATATGTTTTGAACAAAATTATGTGGGAGGGAAACCTTGAATTACATGTCAAATACAGTCAATACACCTTCATAACCACAGGGATGAGTTTGGCAAATTACAATGAATGTCAATTAAGAGGACTTCATTGAGGTTCCTGGTGCT